AATCACAATCCTGGCTGGCTGCTAGACCAGTCCCTTCAGCCTGTCTCCACCTCCGCTCCACCGCTCTAGGGTCCATTTGAGATGGCACGCCCTATACATTGTAGGACACAGAGGGACATTTCATCGCTGGAGCCGAGGAGGAGACTGGCTGAAGGCACTGGTCTAGCAGCCAGCCCGGATTGGGTGAGTGGAACTGTTTGAGCTCCCAAGAGAAAATTACTTAACCCTTGCAGTGCAGGAGTAGCCCCACTTCAGGGGTTAGGAGGGTAGTTATTATCCCGGTGTTCTTCGTGTACCTGAACTCCAAAAATTAAGACTGGAACCTCTTCTCAAAGCACTTGTTGTGTCTGCTCAGTGGCACTGTGAGTTGTCGTGGAAGAGGAGATGAATACACTGCTTTTGGGTGAAGGGGTGGCCACGTGTGCCATACTGCTTCAATCGGTGGTGTGACATGCTCTAGGCCAGTACTTGTGATCTGTAGACACCAGGAATCTGTATATAGTTGTATGTTGGAATCGTGCTAATAAAAGATGGAATCTAGGCTTCCTCCACCTCTCCTACTGCGTTATGATCATTCCCCCCCCCACCAGTCTTCAGGGGGGAAGCTCTGACATGAGGAGGCAAAGCCCTGCCTCTGCCATGACAGCCACCGCCACACAGTTTGGCAAACTTATGGAGAAAAGTTTAGCCACAGGGAGCTTGCAAGCTTTATTGGTGAATAGTCCCTTGTCTCCTGCTTTCCTTTTCTTGGGCAGAGCTTCCACAGTGCAGGTCTACTATCACCTCTGATTGCTGATCTTACCAGGTTTGGAGTGAGATTTGGTGATGTCACTACTGTGCTGCTCGCTGTTCTCCTGGCTGGAGGGGAAGCTGTACCTGAGGACCTGCTGTGCAAGGATCTCCCTGCTTCAATTTCTTTCATTCTGGGGATCTGTTTCTTCTACTTTTGCTGCTTCTTGATCATTACCCCAACGTCTTTAGGGGTGGGAGGTGGAGTTCACATGATTGCTGCAAATGGCTGTCATAGGGATCACATGATCAAGAGCCAGTGGGATGGACTCCTGATCATGGGAGTGCTTTTATAGCCAATCGGCGCGATCAAAGGAAGCCCACCTCTGATCCAGAACCCCTTGAAGGTGTGACAGGGGCCGGCACTAAGGGGTTAAGTCATCCCTCTGTTGTGGGATTTTCTTTGGCACATAACAGATCATAAAAATTCCCCAAATGCACTCATTGTTTTTTCCACTCCAGTCCTCCTGTGTGACATCACCGTCGTCCATCTGTCTGTGCTGGGGATGTTATCGGTGCCCCGCTGTGAGGGGCCACAGGTCATATCCTGGAATTTATAGGGACATGGTTTGTCTCTTCCTTTTTCTTGCAGCATAATAAATTTTTAGTTTTTTTTTTTCTATTTCCATTATATTGTAATTTTTACTTTTATTTTCACCTTCTGGTAATGAGTGGTGGTGAGTGCTTTCCACCGGCAGAAACGGGTAGCATCAGTTTTGGGTATTCGTATACGGAAATATTTGACTGAACATTTGTTTCTCGGAAATGGCCTTTGAACAAGATAATGGACCAAATGGCAAAACACTCGGGGTGCCAGGTAACCTGGGAGGGGTGTCCTTCTCTGTGACCAAAAACCGGGCTGTACAAGTGACCCCGCGTTACATGTCCTTTCCATGACCAAAGACCCTGCTGTACAAGTGACCCCGTTACATGTCTTCTCCATGACCAAAAACCCGGCTGTATGTGACCCCATTACATGTCTTGTTCGTGACCAAAGACCTGGCTGTACAAGTGACCCCGTTACATATCTTCATGACAAAAAACCCGGCTGTATGTGACCCCATTACATGTCTTCTCCGTGACCAAAGACATGGCTGTAGAAGTGACCCCATTACATGTCCTCTCCGTGACCAAAGACCCGGCTGTACGTGACCCCGTAACAGTTCTTTTCTGTGACCAAAGACCCGGCTGTATGTGACCCCGTTACAGTTCTTTTCTGTGACCAAAACCCCTTACTTCCTGTGCTCTCCATCATTCTCACCTCTGCCCAGTTTTGCTAAGAACTGCAGAACACCCACCGCAACCCTCCAGCTGTGGATGAAACTACAAATCCCACAATGCATCTGTCTCTAGGAGTCGTGGCTGTGCGACTCTTGCAATGCCTCATGGGATTTGTAGTTCCACCACAGCTGGAGGGCCGGAGTCTGCCCACCCTTGCTTTAAAGTAATCATTCACTTCTATAATGTGACTCGGAGTGTCTTGTAGAAACGATTGTGGATGCAAATATTTTCTATTTTAGTCTCCTGAAACATTTGCTTAGCCTCCTGTGACATTTACATAAACCTGTTTTTGCAGGAAACGCCTTTTGCGGAGCAGAAATGTGGATCAGGAACACACGTGGTCTGTTGCTGCGTTTTACCTATATGTCTGATTCTGCATGTCCAATCTCCCCCCCCCCTTAAATCCCCCCCGGGACTAGACATGTCAGCATTAGCGGAAACTTATTTAAATGTATTGCCGCGTGCCGCAGACAGGATCGTACTTGTGACAGGCCGACCCTGGAACCAAAACATTCCACTATGATTGCTGCTATAAACTGTACACGGCTCAGGCCCCCTGTGAGGTCTTATGAGACTCATTTCCTTTATTTTTATTTCGGTGACACGTCTGTGTTTTGAATGTTGGAACTGACACGTCTGCTTTTGCCTTTTCAGGCTTCCGATGCCCTATATGTTCCAAGGCCGTGGCCTCTGACGAAATGGAGATGCACTTTATTATGTGTCTAAGTAAACCTCGGCTGTCCTATAATGGTACGTACCTACCTATTCATTAAAGTCTAAGGCCTTGTTCACACCGAATGCGTGTGCGTTCCAGAGCGGTAGCTGCTGGAACGCACCGCGATCGCTGTATATCTTCCCCCCGCATTTTGGGGCGTGGCGGTACATTGTATTAAATGTATTCAATGTGCATGTTCAATGTATGCGCGGGGAAGATTCAAAGCGATCGCGGTGCGTTCCAGCAGCTAACCGCTCTGGAACGCACATGCTTTCGGTGTGAACAAGCCCTGAAGGTTTTTAAGCTTTTTTTTTTTTTTTTTTAAATGCTGATTGAATCACTTACAATGGAAGCGGCTTCTTGATGTTTAAAAGTTTTGTTTCCTGCGGAATCATTGGCGATGTTTTCTGTTACACCAGGGACAGGCAACCTCAGCTGTGCCGCAGCCTACACATCCCATCGTGCCTCTGCCCCTGGGAGTCCATGTATGTGGTTTTTAGTCTTTGCAAGGCCTCATGGGACTTGTGGTTCCAAAACCGCTGGGGTGCTGAGATTGTCTACCCCTGTGCTTTCATCCTAAGTTTGGGTAGAACATAAAACATGGTCTGCAAAGTAAACTTGGCCTTTAAAGGAGAACTGTGGGGTCAGGGCTTTTCCCCGTAGTTCTCCTTAGGGTAACGGGAGGACACAAACTAGCGTCCTCCCGTCACCCTAAGCTCAGTATAGTGAGACGTCGCAGCCGGAACGGATCCTGACAATGCTGTCTGGATCCACCCAGCTGCGTGAGTGACAGCTGGCTCTCCCTATCTAGAGGCAGAGCCAGCTGTACCGGCCCCCGTCCGTTCCGCCAGTCAGCGCTGGACGATCGTACAGGGGAGGGGGATCCCTGCAGGGAGCCGTGAGTTACGGTCAGGGTTCTCTACAGGGATAGATCGAGAAGTGAGCGAGCGACGGTATGTGTTCTCTCACTTCTCGATCTATTGAGCCGACCTGTGACAGTCTCATTGTCACAGGTCGGTTAGAACTATGAGGTGAGTGATTTTCACTCGCCTCATAGTTCTCCTTTATTTTATTATCTGGGGACAGAGTCCCTATAAAGGATCAGTCTGAGAAAATGTCACATTCCACCCGTAACTCAATTACTGTCTCCTGCTGCTTGCTCCAATGTTAGCAAAGCATGCTGGAACTTGTAGTCATTCACACCTCCAGGCATTTTTTTTGACTCCCATCTAGTTTGTAGAAAGGGGGTCTTGGTAACCCCCCCTTCCCCCTCGGCATGGTACTTGGCCTGCATGTACATCAGTGATTCTGGTTTTGTCTGCGTGACGACCACAAATAGATCAGCTGTCACTGGCATTGCATCTGTCTCGGGGAGTCGGACTGACCCAGTAACCCATCCACAGTCAGGCCCTGCCTCATCGGACAGGAATGCTCACTTGTAGATGTGCTGTCAGGCGGGTGGTTAGAGGTTTTGTAGATGCTTTTTTATTATGCTCTGCATTAAATACTAATAAAAGTTATTGGACATGTGACCTATTGCATACAGGTGAAACTCGAATAATTAGAATATCGTGCAAAGTTCATTTATTTCACTAATGCAACTTATGCGGTGAAACTAATATGTGAGATACTCATTACATGCAAAGCAAGATAGTCCAAGCCGTGATTTGTCATAATTGTGATGATTATGGCTTACAGCTCATGAAAACCCCAAGAACCCCAAATCCACAACCTCAAAAAAGTAGATTATTACATGCAATCAATAAAACAAGGATTGTACATAGAACAATATCGGACCTCTGAAAAGTACAAGCATGCATATGTACTCAGTACTTGGTTTGGGCCCCTTTTGCAGCACTTAGTGCAATAACTTTTGCACTATATTCTAATTATTCGAGTTTCACCTGTATGTTGGTTTTGCATTTCCTCAACTTCCTGTTTAGAGATTTAATATCAAGCTGAACTTGCACAAGTAAATGAGCCTGAGCGGTGATCCTACCATCCACTTGTAGTTGAGGTTTCAATTGGAGAGAGACGGTCTAAAAGGAAGCAGCTTCTGCTCAGTATTTGCTTATTTCGCAGTTCAGCTTTAAATGTTTATATGAATATTTCGCAGTTCAGCTTTAAATGTTTATATGAATTTCTGGCAGATAAATGGACTTGGTGTACTATCAGCATTTTGTAGACATGGTCATCGTTCATCTATTTCAGACATGTACAAAATGTTTTGTTTTTTATTTTGCTCAGGAAGCATGCTAGCAGTGTTATCATCAAATATGTGATTTCAATGTTTGTTTTTTCTTTTCTTTTTTTCTGTGTTTTTTGTTGGATGAAAATATTGTATAATAAAAAAAAAAATATTGGTTTGTTTTTGTTTTTTTTGTTTGGTTTTTTTAAGTGATTTAATTTCCATGTCTTTACTTAAATACAAAGTACCTGGCTGTATGTTGCATGGTGCAATAACAAAACAGATTGCTTATTAGGACACTTTTGACTTGTGCCCCCCCCCTGTGGCCCCCCCCCCCCCCTCTCTCTCTCTGCAGACGACGTGCTGACGAGGGACGCAGGCGAGTGTGTCATCTGCCTGGAGGACCTCTCACAAGGGGACACGATAGCCAGACTGCCCTGTCTGTGCATTTACCACAAAAGGTAACGAATCCGGTCTGTCGGTGCTGATCCAAGCGTGTCTTCCGATTGCAGCTCCGGTTTTGGAGTGTGCATGCATCTACATTGGTTCCAATAAACGTGGAACTCCAGCCAGGGGTGTGACTTCTCTAGAGTCTCCCCCATTCTTTGGAACTTTTTACCCCAACCTGTCTATCTCACGCTCTGACTGCCTTTAGGCAATCCCATAAGACTCATCTCTTCAGGGAAGCCTATCCCACCTCAACCTGACCACTCAACCATCACGTGTTCAAACAATTCATCCGCCCACACAGCTACCTCCTCATGTATCACTGGCCCCTCCCTTAGATTGTAAGCCCTCAGTGGCAGGGCCCTCCTTACCATCTTGTCTTGAATTGTAATTGTAATGTCTTCCTTAAATTGTAAAGCGCCGCACAAACTGCTGGTGCTATATAAATCCTGTATAATAATAACTGCAGATCAAGAGGGCCCCCTAGCAAAAATGTGATGCGGGAGCCCCCCCTGAAGACCTCTGAGCTGCGTCTGGGAGCCTTTCATAATGGGCACAGCAGGTCTACAGACCGGGGATCTTGGCACAGGAATGGCAGGTACCCTTCTTAATAGGCACAGCAGGTGTACAGACCCAGGAACTCAGCACAGGGATGGTGGGAGCTCCTCATAATGGGCACAGCAGGTGTGCAGACTCAGGAACTCAGCACAGGGATGGTGGGAGCTCCTCATAATGGGCACAGCGGGTGTACAGACCCGGGAACTCAGCACCGGGATGGTGGGAGCTTCTCGTAATGGGTACAGCAGGTGTACAGACCCGGGAGCTCAGCACCGGGATGGTGGGAGCTTCTCGTAATGGGTACAGCAGGTGTACAGACCCGGGAGCTCAGCACAGGGATGGTGGGAGCTTCTCATAATGGGCACAGCGGGTGTACAGACCCAGAAACTCAGCACAGAGATGGTGGGAGCTTCTCGTAATGGGCACAGCAAGTGTACAGAGATGGTGGGAGCCCCTCATAATAGGCACAGCAGGTGTACATACCCAGAAACTAAGCACAGGGATGGTGGGAGCTTCTCGAATAGGCACAGCAGGTGTACAGACCCGGGAACTCAGCACAGGGATAGTGGGAGCTCCTCATAAGGGATACAACAGATGTACAGACCCGGGAACTCGGCATTGGAATGGTGGGAACTCCTTATAATGTGTACAGACCCAGGAACTCTGCACAGGGATGGTGGGAGCTCCTCATGGGGACATAGACCTGGCAACTCAGCTCAAAAATCTCACTAATAGATACTCATGGTAGACTCATCCCGCATCTTCCAAATACTGTAATGTCTCTTAAGGAAGTCAGGAAGTCCATTCAGATTTTGGAGTCCGGTATAATCCACTGTAGCCTTATTCTGTCGGCTTTTCATATTGGTGCATCCTTTAGTCGCATAGTTGTGTACTGTGCAACCTCCCTCTCGGGGTGTTTGGACAAGCCTTGTGCTCTTTGGGCTGTGCTTGAACCAGGGCCTTCTCTGCACCCAGTTTTTTTCATACATGGGATTCCAGTGTATTAAAGCTTCCACAGTAAGCAAAAGGTCTGTTTTTTTTTTTTTCTTCTTTCCCAAGCCCCAATCAAAAATGGCTTTAAAAAGCCATTTGTTAGCAGCACGGTTAACCCCAACCACCCCACCCCCAGAGCATTCTGGCAGGATTTGGAGCTCCCAGCTCTGTTAGGAGGCATGGTGCATCCTGTTCGGTATTTATTTTGGGCGAATGGTTTGTATGCAGATGGCTTATTAAAGCTTTTTATGTTGGAGGCAGACTTTGCTCTGCAAGGTCCACTTTAAGGAAATGGGAAGAAGAGGAAAGCTGTGAGGTTTGTCTGGTTGTATTTGACGGCCTTTAGGAAATAATATATAGTGAGAGATAATATTTGGATATGCCGTCCTTCAGGTGGGTGAAGGGGATAAACGAACGCGTGTTCTCATTAGTTCCTATCTTTATCTCATTCGTTTCCTCTGGCATTTGGCTGCCATTAGTCAGTGGCGCTCTCACCGTTGTGCCGGGTGCATCGTCTGTGTCTAGTTGTCCTGGTTACTTGGCGTGCATCCCGGCTCGGTTCGCCCGGTCGTTACTGTAGTAACCTGACTGCTGGAAGCCATCTCCTGTCAGGGCCCAGCCTGGGGGTAATTACTGACAAGTAATCCGCCTCGCTGGGCAGCTCGTTAACTCCTCCTGTGCTGAGCCACTTCCGTCTGACTGCTTCATGTAAAAGTTCTTTTAAAGAGAATTTGTCACCAGACCGTTCACTTCAACAAACATCTTCTTATAAGATGATATGTGCATTGATGTATTATATTGCATGTTTATCCATAAAAGACCCCCTTGTAGACCTCTGAAGGCCCTGAGACTGCTGCTGGGAGCTGCCATCTTGGATGTGATGTCAGCAGACTCCGAGCGGTCAATCATATGACACTGGATAGGCAACTTTATTACTCCAGATGTGGTGAAAGTGCAAATCCCACTATGCCTGTGAGGTCATGACCGTGGCAGTCAGTCTTGCAATGCCTTATGGGACTTGTGGTAACCACAGCTTGAGTGATGAGGTTACCTACCCCTGCTCTGCTCTACAACAGGAGGAAAACTACTGCCATCCAGCTGTGGTAAAACTACAAATTCAATCAAGCATTTGCCTCTAGGAGTCATGCCCAGGGGCGTGCCTTTAATGCAATGGTAGCCAAACTCTGGCACTCCAGCTGTGGTGGAACTACAAATCCCATGAGGCATTGCAAGATTCTCACAGCCGCAGGCATGACATCCGGAGAGAGATGCATCATGGGATTTGTGGTTTCACCACAGCTGGAGGGCCGGAGTTTGGCTACCCCTGCCTTAATGAGTTAGCCTTAGGTTGTCTCAGCGGAGTGGCATGGCTGCTCTGCAACACAATGTTTGGCCGGAAAGGGGGCGGAAGGCACACTGCTGTGCATCCCAGTTTGCTAAGAACGGGGCTGGGAGCTGCAGAGCCATACCCATCTCAGCAACCTGGGACACCCTGGCCGGCGTCCAGCTCCTGGCAACCAGTGATGTCACAGGGCAGAACGGTACGCCAGTTAGAGCATAGGCTGCTTAGAGCCAGGCCGGGAGATGCAGAGCCTACAGAGGGTGGGTCACGCTCCCCTCTGCAGCACAGTCTCCTCTACCCACTTCTGCTCTGACACCATCACTACACCACCCCCGACACTTAAATCCAAATTGTATTCCGGGGGGGAATACTGTGAATTTTCATGGGGTCACCTCATCTCTCCTGTATCTGTAAGATCCTGCAGGTGTGCCTCTGGTCTAATGCCTCTGTTCTCTCTTCTAGCTGTATAGATTCCTGGTTTGAGGTGAACAGGTGTTGTCCGGAGCATCCTTCTGATTGACTGGCGGCCACTCTTTCTGGCTTTATTGTAAGGTGAGTACGTTGCCCCCTCCCTGCACTGCACAAGCCATTGTAACTGGGCCAAAGTTAACTTTGCCATAAGGGCTGGTGTAAGAGCTCGTAGGCTTCCACCGGCTACAGAACCTCCGTAAAATAGCAGCCTTTACTGCAACCTGTACTGAGGGTAGGGGCGCACAGATACCGGTTTTTCGAGTACTGATATATTTATTTTTTTCCAGTACTTGCCGGTGCCTTGTGCCCCGATTATCAGGAAGTTGGGGCGGCGGATCATGACCTGTCGCCCAGCTTCCTGATTGCCTGTGAAGCCGGTGTTCTAGCGAAAGATTTAAGTGAACCCATCATTTCTCATTTTTTTTTATAGTTTTTCTGATTTGTTGCTCCTGTGACTAGCAATGCCATTTGTCCAAGGCTCTGATTCTGGTTTTTGTTTTGCAGAGTACTGGGTCTCGCCGGTTTTAGGATCACAGAGTTCGCACTCCGCGTCCTCTCCGGGGTGTCTAAACTGCTTCACACACACACACGTCCCCTCTTTCATGCGTTCCTCCCGTAATCCGGACACGGAGCTCCAGGGAATCGCAAAAAGCCAAACTGAAGCCTCTTCCCATCATCTTTTAAGTCCTGCCCAGGAGCTAACATCGAGGGGGGGAAGAAGCCAACATGGGCACATCTTTGCGCAGGCCCGATATTGTCCACCCCAAGGTGGACAACGCCAAGAGGTCTCAACGTCTTTTACGAGGGATTGGGCCCGTGCGGTATGAGGACCGCCCACATTTAGCCTTTGCACTGCTATCGGACGCAGCGGAATGCATTGTGTAATGTGACGCCATGACCAACACTTGTACTTTTTATCTCCTTGGCAATTTGCACTGAACGTTTTTTGAGTTTCTAAGGGCGCGGAGACCCTGCACACGCGCAGTTTCCGTTGCAATGGCCTGGGGTCGGAGGACTGCGCGCACCTTGATGTGTGCTTGTGGATAGACTTTTATCGGCGAACTGTAAGCGGTGTTTCTTCTAAACCAGGGTCCTTTCCCAGTGCTTCCCAGAGGTCTGTAGGAGGCAGGCACTGACCTGTTATTGTGGTTGGGTGGGGGGAAGGGAGCCTGACTTGAAACCATCTCGTCTCCAGCCGAAATGAGATTTTTTTGCACATAACTTAGTTGCGGAGCTGAGGAGGGTCAGGCGAAAGCGTATTTTAAAGTAAAGAGGATAAGGATACAGGGTTGGGGGGGGTAAGAGTGTTTTACTTAGACGGGCTCGTAATTTGCCAACATCCCGGTCCTTTTCCTGTATATTATAGATAGGATAAATAAATTATTTCTGCTGGATAGTGTCGGACACATTTCGAGGGATCTGTCAGTGTTTACAATCTGTTCCCGCCCTCCTAGTTCTTTCTTGATCCCTTTGGTCTCTCCCTCCTCGAGGTGACCACTTTAGTGTTATTTTGTATATATCGCAGTAATATATTAGTACATCTTTAGGTGCTGGATCTTAGGGGACTCTTCCTTTTACACATCGCTGGTCCCTGCCGCTGCAGCTGAGCCCATCTGTCAAAGGTGTTCGCTGCTCGGCTTCCATTTTGTTCCACAACTTGGAGAACCTTTTGAGCTGCTGAAGGCGGCACAGAGTTGCTGGTGATGCAATAAACTTGGCGATAACAAGGACATGGCTTTTAAGGATGACGTCAGACCATTGTTTGAACCCATGGCCTTCATACCACTGAGCTCTTTATGACTTTAAGGATCACTTTGCTTCTGACTTACAACTTGGAGACCATGTTAAGTCTTTAAACGTATGGAAAGACAAGATCCCTGCAATAGAAATGTTACTATACCAGGTTGGCAAACAGCAGGCCTCCAGCTCTAGTGTAACCACAAATCCCATTAGGCATTGCAAGACTTGGACAGCCACAGGCATGACTCCCAGAGGCTGATGTATGATTGGATTTCTAGGTGCACCATATCTGGAGGGCCAGCCGGAGTTTGCCTTTCCCTGTACTAGACCAACTTCCTTTGGCAGCCTCCTGTGATGAAGCCTCCATAAGACTCTTCAGCGACCCTTCTGCTAATGTTGGGCACCTAGGTCCTCCCATGTGCTGGTTCTTTGCTCTGACCCATACCACGTTCTGTAGGGGTTGGAGGAAGGAACCACAGTGTAGGATGAAAGCATCTGACACGCTCCAGTGACAAGCCTTATGGAGCTTGGAACAAAGGAGAGGTTGAGTAGAAGTGCCTTTCTCTAGCAGAGGTCTGGTCTTTAGATTTGTTTAGAGATCGGACAGGGTCTCTTTAACAAGCCAAATCCATTCAAGAAATTGCGTTCTTTGCTGGGGACAGCAAACCCTTTCTAGTCTGAGCTGATGGTTCTAAGGAGGGGTGTTAAACCTGGAAAGGAGAGTCCACCCATGAGCAATTTTAGGTAAAGCCTAGTGCGGGAATAGCCAAACTTTGGTCTTCCAACTGCCATAAGGCATTGCACTCGGACAGCCACAGCCATGACATCCAGAGGCAGATCCATGTTGGGAATTGTAGTTTCAGCGCAGCTGGAAGGCCAAAGTTTGGCTACTCCTGGTTTATTAGCTAGATCTCCCAGCCAGTTCTTGGCTCGGTTTATCCTGTTAATGGTAAATTGATATAAAGCTGATTGGGGAACCCCTTCATAATGGCTGCTGTGCAGGGCTGGGAACTCTAGTTGGAGTCAGAGAAATAATTTAGGGACCCGGTCACATCTGTGAATTTAGCTGTAGAGGAAGTCATGTGTCACACTCCTTAGGAACAGCTAAAAAACTGAAATAAATTGGCTGTTCAGATACTATGCGGCTAACGAAAACCTTTTTGTACTGGTTACTGGCAGCAGTGTCGGTCACGGGATATATTATCGGCAGAGCATGATGGCAGCCACTGATGCAGGTTTATCATGTAATGTTCTGCATGGTGAATATAGGGGCCCTAAATACCTTTAACTCCAGAGACTACCCAAAAGTGAATGAATTTTGAATGGACTGGCCTTTATAAGAGGAACATGCCAATATGACTTCCTACACTTACTGCTAAGCGCAAAGTCAAACTAGTGACTGATCTCCAGCAACAGGACTGCAAAAAACTAAAAAAGACTTGATTGCTTCCATGTGTGGCTCCCTGACTGGTCAGATACGCTAATGCAGCCTGGCCTGAAAGTAGGAACTTTAGAACCGCCTGGTACTGCGTTGGGGGGGGCACACTGCTGATGGGCCGTGGTCTGGAGTTGACTTCAATAAGAACCTATTGCTGGCACACTATGGCTCTGTAATCAATACTCTGAATGTTTTATTGAAGTGATCACATTACAAACATGACATAATAATGACATTATTTGTGATCACTTTAAAAAATGGACTATTGATTATGGATCTATGGTGTCCTGGTAACATCTCATCAAGGGCCAAAAAGTAGGAACGCTTTTGTGGCAGGACCGGAAATTAGAGGTCATTAGGACTTTTCTAGCTTGGGTTTTCGGGTTGCTCTGTATCGTCCCGTTCCAGGGGGGGAGAGGGGTACAAACTGTTTTATAGAGTTGGCAAGGGGTCATTACCCCAGTCAGGTTTGTTTTTCTACCTGTGACCTCATTGGGGGAAACCCTTCCTGTCCCAGTAACTGGAGTGTTGCTGTCCTAGGACAAGCATTACATTTTGACAGCAATGACCATTTCAAACCTGTCCCCACCCAAAATTTAAAGGGATCGCTTTAGGCCAAGCTTGATGGTGACGCTGAACGTTTGGTTGGATGCCGCTAACCTTAAGACGGCAACCAGATGCACAGGACAGCTTCTGCTGTTTAATGTGTGCAAGGATCTCCGCTGAGCACACTCGAACATAAACCTTCTGGGGGAGAATCATTCTGGAGGTTTCTATGTGATCTCTGTGCGCTGCAATGGAGACATTTGTCCCAATGCTGACACGTCCTACCAGAAGTGTATGGGCTCCGTGTCACCGTGGATTGGTCTTCCCATGTCATACAAGCTGGTGGGGGGAGAGTGGGATGCTGTATGCAGTAGAGGGGGGGGAGGGGGGGATTTCTGTGTCCCACATTCCCTTTGCACCCCCTTCACATTGGGCCATACCAGGGGAAAGCGGGCCATGCCGTGTTCTCTAAATACTTGTCTGATGTCGCCCTTAAAATTTTCACATTTCTTCAATTGGAATCCGTTCTCTAATTATGGTTATGCTTACCACCCCGTGCTTCTTTTTTTGTGACCTCCAGACAAATGGCTAAATACGCAGGTGAAACCGTTTTGCCTGCCACTGGGGTTGTAATTCTGTTCAGCTGCTCTTGTGATTCAGACATTTGCATAGCCAGAAAGATGACCCCAGTGTTTCAGCTTTGTAGCTGCTTGATCGTTGGACAATGAAACGTCATCACCCAGTTGATGTGCATAAAGCTGACCATACACCAACAGGGTTCTATGTTCACGTTTACACTGCGTGTTTAGTTGCTTGCTTCAAATCCCAATCAGACCAAACTTGGTGCCAAAGTCAAACCTGTGATTGGTTATCCAGATGTCGTATTGATCATTTATCGCCTTATTTATAGATACGAGCGGCAGGGTTGCCAGTTTGAACCCCGGCCCGTTCTCTTTGTGCAGGGTTGCAGCCATGTGGACATGGACATACTGTGTTCCGATTGGACAACAGGCTGTGGCTCTGTCCATGTGACATGACCCGTCTTGAGTGCAGTTGCTCAATAAATACCTACCCGACCTTAGATATTTAACAAATATCCTTTTTCGTATTCCATATCTTCCTCACTTGTGTGATGCTGTATAAGGCAGCCTCTGGCTCTGTAGGGGGATGAACTATGCAGGCTGGCAGAGCATGCTGGCATTTGTAGTTCTCAATCAGCATCCAGCTGCTAGCCCCTGCTGTGTATATTCGACTCTGTGCAGACCATGCTGCCGCTGTAGAATAGGCTGTAACTGTTCATCGCCACCTAGTGGTGAGTTCATATAGTGCAAGTTTTTTTTTTTGCTTTCTTTAAGGAATTGTCATCTTGGGGAGGTTGGGGGATAGCTGAGAAGCCAGTGCCAATGTATCATTCATTCACCTTTTTTTTAATCCAAAAAAGGCTAGTTTGTAATTTAAGTTATATTTAAAAGCTTTCATATGTTTCAATGTAGAATGTTGGGGTCTCGCACACCATCACAATGCTGCAATTTACTTCATTGCTTCTTTTGCCCTCATCGAAGCACATCACCCACGTGGACTCACTTTTTTTTTTTTAATGCATTTTACATGTTAGCTGATTCTTCCACGGCAAGAGTTTGCACTGTCTTTGAGATCTTTTGTTGCCCCAAAACTGCTGGAATGACCCTTTTTGTTGACCTAACAAAGCTTTGAGGCCAAACATCGTTCACCCTCTTGTGATTATTTTTTTTTTAATTTTATAAAATGGGAAGGAGGTGAGATGCAGACTGTGTTGTATATCTGTTGTTATAAATAAAGGAATGTGTCTTTGCAGATCCCGTGACTCTGAATCCTTCAATGGTGTCATGTGTCTCTTGTAGCGGGATTGAGTTTAAAGCTGCTCTCCGGCACAAAGCAAATGGAGCCCTAAACTATCCTGCCCCCTCTGCTGAGGACGCGTTCGCTTCCTGTGTGCCGTCTCTCCGGGACTGATGTCACCGCTGGCAGGAGGGGTCTGCAGGGGGCCATACGTCATTGCTTTCATAGTGTATGTATTCCCCAAAGTGCTACATACCTTTTTTAAAGGAGAACTAATGGGGAGCATGGAATGCACTCATCCCCATAGCTTGTGTCGCACGTTGGCTCTATCGCACTTTGGCTTTATAGATGGAGAACTGAGCCGTCTTCCAGGGTCACCATCTACTTCCTAGACCGAGATGCTGGTTCAGAGAACGGAGCCATCTTCCAGGGTCACCATCTTCCTGGACTGGGATGCTGGTTCACAGAACAAAGCCTTCTTCCAGGGTCACCATCTACTTCCTGGACTGAGATGCCGGTTCAAAGAGCAGGGCCGTCTTCCAGGGTCACAGCTACTTCCCAGACCGAGAGGCCGTTTCAGAGAAAGGAGCCATCTTGCAGGGTCAAACAGTTCCTCCCCACACACAGCTAACTCATGTATCTCTTGCCCCTCACTTTTAGATTGTAAGCCCTCAGGGGCAGCGCCCTCCTTACCATCTTGTCTTGAATTGTATTGTGGTTGTAATGTCTTCCTTATAACTGTAAAGTGCTGTGCAAACGGTTGGTGTTATATAAATCCTGTATAATAACATGAAATGCCCAGTGACCTGCACCCCTGCCCTAACACCATTATATGAGATGACAGATCCTACACCCAACAAGACTGACACATCACAGGTACTTTTTGCTGCGCTGTTTTCTGCGTTCTCCAGCAGGACCGATCACTGCAGATGTTTATCGCCACCTAGTGACAAGTTCTAGAATTGCAGCTTCCTATTTTCCTGATCAGACCCAGTCATGTTTATTGGGGCAGCACAGAGGGGGGGGGGAGGATATTCTAACAACATTTCTTAGCACGGGCATTGTAGAAAAAGTATTGTAGCAAATGTTTCTACATACTGTATGGTTATGTTCTCCTTTCAATGTGGGAGAGGGCACAGCAGCGCTCAGAGGGTGACACACTCGAGGACAAAGTAACCAGGTGTGGAACTACATGCCCCAGCATCTTCTTGGGCCATACCGTTCCTGTGGGAAGTTTTTGGATCCGTGATGGAAGAGTTGATGCAACAGCCATGTTCCCATGTTTTATTGCCATATGTGAGGCATGTGGATGGAGCTGTCAATCTTCAGGGAAGCACATGGAACGGTGATTATAAATTCTCTGCACATTGATGCTACTCATGCGTTTGACACCCTTCCAGTCCTATTATGCAACTAGAGCAGGTGTAGACAACCTTGGCACTCCAGCTGCAATGAAACTACAAGGCACATCATCTCTGGGAGTCATGACTGTGGCTCTTAGTCTTGAAAGGCCTCATGGGACTTGTAGTTCCACAACAGCTGGAGGGCAGAGGTTGCGTACACCCGAGCTAGAGTTTGATGCAAACAAAAGGTTGCGCTCAACCAAAAATTGTGCGAGAGTCATACAAGGTAACAATCTTCTTTTGTATTGTTTATATTTTAGTTCATATTTACTTTCTTTTGGCCCTGATGAAGGGGGAGGTTGTCCCTAAAACACATTGTCTGCTTTTTTTTAATCATTAAAGCTGTATGGACTCTTACGGATTTTGGTTTAACGCTCCTTCTTTTGATTCATACTGATTGATGTTCTTGGCAGCGGTGCCCCCAGGCCGGGTGTCACCCGGAGCGGAGACCGGGGTGACACCATCGTGCATGTGCGGTCATCTTATTGACGCCTGCTGGCAGCCATCTTGGTGATGGACGCCGGCAGAGAGAGGAGGGGATGTTCACCCGGTGAGATGAGGTATGCCGCCGGGTCCCTTCCTCTCTCCTGACACTGTTGGGCTCTCGGTCCATGACCGAGGGCCCGGCTTTTTAGAGGGGGTAACACCAAAATCAGTCATTTTGGTGTCACCCCTCCAATGGTTTAGGATACAGTCCATGAACCCATTGCACTCAAAACAGCTGTTCCATAGAAAAGACGGGTGCTATGGCAACCGTCTATAATCAAAGAATAACAGTCACTGGCACTCCAAGTATGAATCATTGGTGTCTGTTTATTGGTGCATGAGACAGCACAATGCATCAAAAAGCAACGTTTCGGGGTCTCACAAGATCCCCTTCATCAGGCAAAATGAGTGGAGGGGATGTTGTCTCCTTCAGCACTCATTTTGCTTGAGGAAGGGCACCTTGTGAGACCCCGAAATGTTGCTTTTTGATGCATTGTGCTATCCCTCCAATGGTGGAACTTGGGTGTGGGCCGCACCTCCCTGGTGATGTCACTGGTTGTGGGTAGTTCTTGGCTGGTAGGCCTGTGTATATGTGAGCTGCCTAGCCAAAGCAATGCATGATGGGAGATGTAGTCTTGAGAAATGAAGATTGCATCACATCAAGCAGCAGGAAGGAGATGCAAAGCACACTGGGGATCCAGGAAGTTGATGGAAGTGATGGGCGGATGGAAGGCGCCGCTCACTACATAAAAGTGATTTCTTCATGTAACCTTTGATTGTATTATCAGAGACACCTCCAGTATGTATTCCTATTACAGTGCTGATGTCATAACAGGAGCGGATGTGCAGGGACGTTACCAGTTCTTTCATCGCCGGTCTGTGGGCTCAGCAGGATGGATGATAAAGGATCCTGACAGCACTCAGCCCTGAGCTTGTTCTGCCGCACTATAAACAAATCTCTGCAGTGCTGCCAGTTTGGCCTTTACAGCTGGAGTTGCACTTTAAATGGTAAATTTAGGAACTCCCATCTATACCATGAATACATTTGTCGTCATTCCAGAAAAGATAAATACATTCTAAAAAATTAAAAAATGTCAGCTGACCGCAGATTAGAAATAGAAGGAAGTTTTTAATAAAACATATTAATACATAATTAGGAGGACCAGTCATGTGTCCTTATCAAGGGGGAGCTCAAGCGACTCCGGGAAGTTTCACATATGTCTGGAGGAAGAAGCCCGGGGACGCCTCCCATACATATCACTAGATTGGGATTTCCTCTATGAAACTATCAAATGTTCATTCAATCGAAGGTGACGCAATGGTGACATTTTATACCTCTGCCCTATACGATGCCATTGATTGGATGCTACAGCACCACGTAGGGTTATGTCCAGTATGGTCTGCGAGGGAGAGATATGCTAGTTCATTGAGCCGTTGGTGTGCTCCGTAGCTACCCTATATAATGGGGTTCACCCTTACATCGCATTCAGACACACAAGACTACATCTCCCGAGAGGCCAATCAAGACCACCCCCCAAATCTGTTCTTTATGTTCCCCTGTTCATTCATCAGCCATCCTCATAATGGGCACAGCAGGTGTACAGACCCGGGAACTCAGCACAGGGATGGTGGGAGCTCCTCATAATGGGCACAGCAGGTGTACAGACCCGGGAACTCAGCACAGGGATGGTGGGAGCTCCTCATAATGGGCACAGCAGGTGTACAGCACCTCATAATGGGCACTGCAGATGTTAACCGCTGGGAACTCAGCGCAGGGATGGCGGGAGCTCCTCCTAATGGGCACAGCAGGTGTACAGACCCGGGAACTCAGCACAGGGATGGTGGGAGCTCCTCATAATGGGCACAGCAGGTGTACAGACCCGGGAACTAAGCACAATGATGATGGGAGCTCCTCATAATGGGGCACAGCAGGTGTACAGAACCAGGAACTCAGCACAGGGATGGTGGGAGCTCCTCATAAGGGGCACAGCACAATGATGGTGGGAGCTCCTCATAATGGGGCACAACAGGTGTACAGACCCAGGAACTCAGCACAGGGATTGTGGGAGCCCCTCATAATGGGGCACAGCAGGTATACAGACCCGGGAACTCAGCACAGGGATGGTGGGAGCTCCTCATAATGGGCACATGTTTTCTGTGCTCTTCCCTTCAATTACCCATCTCTGTGCCACCTGCCACGGAAATGATACCCTGGCCCCTACCTGGTGAGAATGTTGGGGTTTGCGGGGGGCCTAGACGGTTCCAGCACTACACTTGTATGGAATCCAATGCTGGCGATCATTTTATTGGATCATCAGTGGAATTTGATTCTTTTGCAGGAAAATTGGGCTCAAAGAAAAGAAAATCTGAATATTCTGAAGAACCTCGAGTCCAGACTTGGTCCGCTGGTGCCGCCAAACTTCCCGGTGGTCTTCGGCTTCACCATCGGTTAGAGTTCGTGCACATCAATATTTTTTTTTTACAAAAATCTATGTATATATATACATTGCGTCTGTGGGGGAGGAAGCACCGGCTTAACCCGAAGCCGCGTTGGCGCCGGGACCTCGCCAGTCGGTGAAACTGAAGTAGCTGCTTGCGCCGTAGGCGATCATCACTAAGCAGGCGAAGAACTGCAAAACAAAGGTCAGAGGTCATCAGGATGGGGGAAGGTGACCTCGGCTCTCCAGCTGTTGTGGAACTACAAGTGCCACAAGGCATTGCAAGACTCTAACAGCCACAGGTATGACCCGCAGAGGCATGATGGGATATGTGGTCTCAGCACAGCTGGAGGACCGAGGTTGCCTATACTCTGGTTAAAGTAATAAATGGGGTTCATCATGTGACTTGAAATAAGTAGCAGGAGGTGGGGCTTAGGAGTAAAATGGATGCTGCACACGGGGGTCATATCTCCACCCCCTTCCCTTGCACTCAGCCATTTACAAACAGGTGTTTTGTGATTGGCCCGGCGGAGATGGTGGGCGGAGACATGACGCCAGTGCTGCTGTCTAACGGATACTCTGCAGTAAACAGGAAGTATAGCAGCAGCTGTAGTGTCCAACAAGACTAAGGCCAACCATACACTATACAATCTGATGAACATAAGATAACCGACGCGTTTCGAGGTCAGAAAACCATCACCCTTCATCAGGGCTACAAAATCAAGATATTAAACATGAAAGGTGATGTACAAGTATTGCAACTGATCTCTCATTAAAAATCTGAAAATATTGTTATCAGTTGTGATCGGCTTTGCCTTTGTGGCCCTGGTAAAGGAAGTTGTTTGGGGGATCCCGAAATGTGTCGGCTATTTATTTTTTTGTTCATCTTTCTGCCATTTGGGAAATCAATAAATGACACGTCTTGACCCTCAGAAGCAGTGGGTTTGGCACGACTTCTTTCAGTTAATCGCATACAGCGCTCCTAAATAGGGGCCAGTGGGCCGAATCAGCTATACATCCGGGTCCAACGCCTCAGTGGGGGGGTGGGGCATGGTAACAACCACCCAACATAACACCCACAAGTTGTATTAATAATATGATAACTCCCCCCCCCCGCCCCCCAGAGTCCAGGCTGTGTTCTCACTCACCGAGGCAGATGCTCTTTTGTTGTAGTCTTGGCCATTCATGCTCACGCCCACTCGTACGGAGGCGGCGCAGGCGATGAATCCGGTCACGTAGAGGAGGGTGGCCAAGGCGTCGTAGATGAACAGCTGGAGGGAGAGGACATAGAGATAGAATGAATGCGGGGGGCTCCAAACCTGAACCAGGATCAAGAAGAAAAAAAACCTCCAAACTTCCCATGATGCAACAGGAGACCTTTTCCTGCTCTGATCTAGCGGAGGCAACTGCAGACATTATTAAGGGTGTCCCCCATTGGAGGATTTCTTCTGGGGGGAGGGGGACAAGGGAAGGCAAAATATAAACGTCAGCTTTAAAAAAACTGGAACTTACCACTAACGGCCATGGAACAAAGGAAATTTTCCTCTGTATCTGGAGGAGGATGAGGATGAAGAGGACGAGGGTCACCACCCATTAACAATATAATAATAGGAATATAATAATAATATGAATATAATAATAATAGGAATATAATAATAATGGTAATAATAGGAATATAATAATCATATCGGAATAAAATCTCGGATCAGCTCTAACGCGTTCACTTCAAAAGTCACTTTCAATCATCTAAAATCTGCCGCAGAATACGGGGTGATCCCACCATGCAGGTCCTTGTTCAGGCACTTCCTGTTAGAAGGCGACCATTGTCTAATTTTGCATTGTCACCCTACTCACATGCCCGATGGCGACTACAAGGAGCCAGACCTACGCACATTACGCAGGCACGGTCCACGCATCGTCAGTATCAGGAAGCCGGTCCGGGGCGGTGATGCCCGGCTGATGGGTGTAGACAGGAAGTGGCTGAAAGAGGCTGCAGGAGATCGGCAGCACTGCAAGGGTTAAAAACGTGTGCCTTTGTCAGCCTATAAGAAGACAGCGGCTCTGACCCTTATCTACTCCACCCCAAAGTGAGGAAGGGTTAACATTTCTGACAATATTTCCTAATGTCATCCGGCTTTATGACTCACGGTCCGGTTCTACCGGTTCTTGATAGATGGGTTTTGTTTTGGTGTGACATATTCTGTGATCTTTTAGGATTCATTGATTGATGTTCCAGCCAATCACATTATTGCATTCTTGTTTTTTTTTTACAACAGCCCCGACGAAGGGGGAGCGTTGGTGCCCCCGAAACGCGTTGGCTGTTGTATGTTTCCTATTGGGGTCCTATATATTTGGTCTGGCACTCCCGTTAGGCTTTTTACATTTTGGGTCACCTAGATAAGGGGCCCCCCGAATTTTGTGGAAGATCAGCCTGACCCCCAGCTACTGCGCTCTACTTGGTTGGCCTATTACAACCATGCATTTCTGGTAAGATATGTCCAGCGCCTCCTGTCTGTGTCGTTATTGGTAGGAATGAGGAACTTGTTCCGAATCTGAGCTTCTCCGAACACAGATGCAGCTCCTACCGAACACAGGAGGAAGCTCCTTCCATGCCAGCCAATCAGCTGCAGGAGGGGAAGTCATGTGAGCAAAGCATGTGGCCTTATATGGCTACATGTCTATATATGGTAAATTATATTTACCATATATGGCTGTGGCCATATAAGGTCAATGACATCAACAGAAGCCTCCTGCCCCTTTGTTTACACGCAGCTGCAGGGCGGGAATACCCCAGGCCCTCAGCTGATTGGACAAAAGGCCTTATGTAACTTCCTTGCTCAGAGGTTCCGAAGCCGGACCACCCCTTACTAATTTTTACCTCACTTCCTGTCAGGACAAGGAGGACACAGACAAAAACACATTTATAGTAGAGTGGAGAAGGATTCGTACCTCTGAGAGGTTTTTTTTTTAATGCTTCCTGTCCCGTGACAACCCATTCCTACCATTCCTCATAGTGGTGTCATTGGGAGAGGAAGTGAGACAAATCCACCCAATCGGGTTACAGATGGAAACGTTTAGCAAATGACAGGAAATTTTAGCTCTTTCCTATCCAAAGTTTCAAAGAATTGGCTGGCATTAGGTTTACACCAGTGGTAGGCAACCTTATCATGTATTGCCATGCAGCCATTGTTTTGCCTTGCAGTGATGTCTCAGCCTTCACCTCCGAGCCCCATCCAAAGGCGGGATGTCTGTGTGTTCATCACGCCAACCGGTTTGGCATTTCGGCGTGGGGACGCGCTGACAGTGTTGCGCAATATCAGGACGGCGATTATTTTGTGTTTTGATCTTGACAACATCACCGCCAAGGTTAACCCTTCACATCCCCGGGAAAGATTTCACCACTTCAGAACACACACACACGTGTAGCCACTTGCTGCGCCCTCGGAGGGAAAGGGGGCCGGGGACGCCGCCGTCATCTCATACGTACAATGCAAAAAGTTCTACACCAGGGGTGGGCAGCTGTTGTGGAACTACAAGTCCCAGGAGGCAGTGCAACACTGACAGTTACAAACATGACTCCCAAAGGCAGAGGCATGTTGGAATTTGTAGGTAAAGCCTGCAGAGCATTGCAACCGCGATCAGTGCATGGTGGGTGCAATGTGCGGTCCCCTGCAGACTCCTCCCCCAGCCCTAGGTCCATACCAAGGAACAGACCTGCTGGAGGAAGTTATCGAAGGACTACGAGATCGGTGACATCACCACACATCCTCCAGGGACATCGACAAGTCCCTCTGCCTTGGTGGAAGATGGGACCGCTAGTCTTCCGTTGACAAATCACTCTTGTACGCGTGCTGCAAATTGTAAACAGCATGTGGTGTTAGGCGGGGGGTGCCTCTGCCAAAATGCGATCCTTGCAATCAATAGGACGCTTGTTGGTAGATCTAAAGGAGATTGTACAATCAGATTGTACCATGTGTGATAGATTTGGGTGAAACGCGTGGGAACGGGTTTTGCAATACAGAATTCCCATTGGGGAAAAAAAGTGGATTTCTGGATTCTCTGGATTGACATGGATGTCAATGTGAGCTGGCAGCTGAAAGCGGTGTGCTCCATTCTGCAGCTGCATCCTGGGCTCTGCTGGTCAGGGGTCTCCTTCATCTTCATTGTCACATTCTGTACAATCTTGTTTTGTTTGTATGTAACAAGCCGTGTCCTAGCTGTGAAAACATGTTTATATAGCGCACACGTTAAGCCAACACTCTGGAACACTTCTAAGCACTTAGCATTTATAGCGGGTTAGTGGGTGCTTGCCGTTGCTGAGCAGCTTTGTGTTCTGATTCCCGGCATTCATCTTCACCAGCGGCTGCCATGCTCACTAAGTCCTTATGGACGCCGGCGGACCGACTCCGGCCAAAACTATTTTGTGTGAGACAAGAACCCGGATATTACCTTGTAAAAGTAGCAGTGACATCATCACTGTGCTGTACATAGCCTGTGCAGGGGGCAGAGCTGTGGGAGGGGCCAGCAGGCTCCACCCACTACAGGAAACTACAGGAGGGGCGGAGACGAGACCAGTCACCCTGCACAAGGAGCAAACGCAGCTGTGACCGGTCTTTATTACAAGAGGGGGCAGAGACAAGACCAGTCACCCTGCACAAGGAGAGAGAGCCGCAGTGAGTGGTCTTTATTACAGGAGGGGGCGGAGACAAGACCAGTCACCCTGCACAAGGAGAGAGAGCCGCAGTGAGTGGTCTTTATTACAGGAGGGGGCGGAGACAAGACCAGTCACCCTGCACAAGGAGAGAGAGCCGCAGTGAGTGGTCTTTATTACAGGAGGGGGCGGAGACAAGACCAGTCACCCTGCACAAGGAGAGAGAGCCGCAGTGAGTGGTCTTTATTACAGGAGGGGGCGGAGACAAGACCAGTCACCCCGCACAAGGAGAGAGAGCAGCAGCAGTGACCGGTCTTTTTTACAGGGAACATCTTAGTGCTGTTGATTCCCATCAGCCTCTTTACAGCCAATTCCCGTCTACATGCACACCAGCGATGACTGCATGGCATTTCTCAGGACGGGTTTAATGAAGGTGACAACAGCGGTCCATGGCTGTGTAATATGCATGGAAACATCTGCTTGTAGTTTCCATCTGTGACAGAGTGACAACAGAGGAGCACAATTAAGGCGCGGGGAATAAGTGTTGTAACCCTATAGCAGGAAGTGCTTGGCGGGATCACTAGGTATAATTTTATTGAAAGCTGAAGATTTAAATATATTGAGACTGACTTATGAAACGACATTCACATGTTGAAGTGTATACAGGAGGTTTTAGTGATCGGAGATACATAAAGTTTTCTTTTGTTTGTTTCTAAATTCATGATCAGATTATTGATTATTTATGTCTGAGGATCCCAATAAACTCTGCAACCGGCCAAACAACATCTACCTCAGCCCCACGTCCTCCATCTCCGGCCTCCCCAAATAAGGCTAAGAAAGATTAAATCTTGGAATTCTTTATGGCTCATTGTCACCTTGTCACCAATATGCTGTCACTAATGCGTTGTCACCCTGTCACCAATGCGTTGTCACCCTGTCACCAATGCGCTGTCACCCTGTCACCAATGCATTGTCATCTTGTCAGCCATGCACTGCCACCCTGTCACCAATGCGCTGTCACCCTGTCACCAATGCGCTGTCACCCTGTCACCAATGCGCTGTCACCCTGTCACCAATGCATTGTCACCCTGTCACCAATATGCTGTCACCCTGTCACCAATATGCTGTCACCCTGTCACCAATGCGCTGTCACCCTGTCACCAATGCGCTGTCACCCTGTCACCAATGCGCTGTCACCCTGTCACCAATGCGCTGTCACCCTGTCACCAATGCGCTGTCACCCTGTCAGCAATGCGTCGTCACCCTGTCAGCAATGCGTTATCACCAATGTGTTGTCACCCTGTCAGCAATGCGTTATCACCAATGTGTTGTCACCCTGTCAGCAATTTGTTCTCGCCTTGCCACCTATGCCTTGTCACCCTGTCACCAATAGAGACTACAAGTGGCCATTTCAACACACATTACACAGACAAGGCCCACTGTTTCACCAACAATAACCCCGCCCTGTGAAATGCCGCCATCGGTGGAGTGCATGTAGACAGGAAGTGAGTACAAAGAGGCTGCAGGAGATGTGACGAAGGATGAATAAGAATAGGAAAAGAAGAATTATAATAAAAGATATCCGTTGTTTATAACAGGCCTCAACCCCTCCATGTGTGACGACCTCTGAACACCATCGGACAGCTGCGGCCGCTATCAGCCAGTCATTGCTTTGTAGAGGCGGAGCCCCCGTGATCTCAGATTGGATGAGCGCGGCGTGTGAATGATTCTCGGTCAGATTGTGTCGCTCAGGAAAACACACGGGAATCTCACGTTTTCTCACATCTCTGTGCAGTGTTTTCCCTTGTAAATGGTGTTGATGTGTTTACATAACAAACAAACTTTATTTATACATCCGGTGAGGAGAATGTCAACTTTGTGCACCTTTGCGTCCTCCTGATTCACACAACATTCACACGAGCTGATTCTGAAGCAGAACGGAGACTTTTTACCTCATAGACCTTAATGGGAGCGCCTGAAAATGTGTGTTTTTCAAGGCTAAACTACCCCAACCTCCTCCTAGTACGGAGCTTCCCATTGGCTGAAAAAATGCTCAGGCCTGAAAAATCGTGCAAACATTGTGAATGGCATCTCGCCATCCGTGCGTTTCGCTGTGCGTTGCCCTGCATTGAATAAAGTAATGCTACGGGGTGCATTTTGTTGCACTAAACACAGGGCCGGTGCTAGACTATTTTGCACTCTAGGCAAGACCAGCTAAAGCTTCTGCAGGCGACAGGTGGATGTAATTTAATTTGAAATAGCCAATAGCAGGCCGGCTAATGAAACCCCTCCCACTGAGCAGAGGAGCGAACCTGAGAGAAAGTTGTCTCTCAGTTACGCTCCTCTACTTGGTGGGCGGGTGCAATAGCCAGCCTGCTATTGGCTTTTGCAATTTGTTATAGATGGGGGGCGCCGTGGGGGGTGAATGGTCAAGGCTGCGCCCTAGGTAGCAGTGCGCTCTAGCCGGCTGCCTAGTGGCAGCACCGACCCTGGCTAAACATGGATACCGCGCCTTTAGTACAACACTATGGTGTGAATGGGACAAGTTCATTTTTGCACCCCACCTGATGGAAAGGACTAATCGGTACTACAGAAGCAACGACCCAAATTTATGAGGCGTTAGTGCGCATGTTCCAGCAGCTCATAGGAGGTAAGTATTGACCTGAGAAGGTGGGGGGATAAGTCAGCTTTGCCTAGTTAAGTGGGTTGGGGCCCGGGGGGGTTACTACAACGTGTCCTTTAAGGGTGTTCCTCAAGGTGTAATGGGCTTTAAATGGCTCCTGAGGGTTCCAGAAGCTCCATTCACCTACACCGAACCTGTCCTAAAAACATGACACGTATGAATTGTGGTCACGTGCAGTCACTCGCTTTACCCCAATGCACGGAAACACACGGCAATCTGTGACAATGCACATTCATTTGGAATGGCATTCCATTAAGAAGACAAATAGTGCGGACCAAATCAAGCGCCTTCCAATTATATCTTCTAAAACTGTTTATTACTGCCTTTGACCCCACTGGGGAGATTTCAGCCCACTTCCTGTCCTGGTGACCAAACAGGAAATGAGGCATCAAAGATGATAAAAAAGCTGAGAGAGGTTCTCACTCTTCCTCTCTCTATTCTATACCAAAAAAATAGGTTTTGGCTTAAATGTGTCCAGGGGAGGAGCCGGTACATGTCTGCAAGATCAAAAGTTCAATTGTAAAGTATAACTCCATCCAGTTGTTTTCCGGTGTTCTATCGAAAGCGAGAGTGACAGAGAGAGTGTTGTCACCCTATAATAGGAAGTGTCTGAACATGGACCTCCATGGCAGAATTACAGCGATGGGCTTTATTGCCATGCGCGTACAGCTGGTGTTCTATCGAAAGCTCCAACTCGTCGAAATCTCCAACTACCTCACTGCCGGGTCCTTGCAAGTTGGAGATTTCGACCAGACGGCGTTAGACTGCAAAACACAAAGACTGACGGAGCTTCTGTACAGCTGCATTATAAAAATATACAGCAGCTGGCAAACTCGACGAGTATTCTGAAAACGCTATGCGCGCATTAGCACCGCAACTGTACAGAGCTCCGGTCTTTCTGAGCACCGGAAGTCAGATAGTTGGAGATCTCGATGAGTTGGAGCTTCTGATAGAAGACCGGTTTGAGTAGGGGAATGCTTAGAACCTCTTCCTGTTCTTTGTAACCCTATCAGGGAGATCTAGTTTACTTTCTGCCCTTGTGATAACGTTGTCACCAGTAGAGGAAGTAAGTGTTGGAAATACAACAGCATACTGATTGTATTGCTTGTGTAACTGTCTTTTGAGCAGTAGATGGCGCTGTAGTGCAATGTAAGTCTCTATGGTTATGCATACTTATCTATGATATGTTTCCTGGTGATGCTGTATTCCTGTATACATACATGTAATGTCCTGCTAAGCAAGTAAAACTTAAGTCAGCATTCCTCAAGATCTCCGTGCTGAACACATAACTACAACATTAAGAAGTAATTTGTCCAACAGGGACACATAAAACCAGGGGCAAGCAGTTTGTAGTTTCTCCACAGTTGGAGGGCAGGGGATGCCCACCCCTGCTCAAACCAGTGCCGTCACAAGGGGGTGCGGCCGTCACCCGGTTGACACCATTGGAGGGATGACACCAAAATGGCTGACAGTCATTTTGGAGTAACCCCCTCTGAAAAGTCGGGCACTTGGTCATGGACCGAGAGCCCGACAGTTGCTCGAGAGAGAGGAGAGTTGAGACATCTACAGATGTTGCAGACCTCTACAGGAGATGGTCAGAGATTGTGGACATCTACAGGAGATGGTCAGAGATTGTGGACATCTACAGGAGATGATGAGAGACATCTACAGGAGATGTTCAGAGACTGCAGACATCTACAGGAGATGGTCAGAGACATCTACAGGAGATGGTCAGAGACATCTACAGGAGATGGTCAGAGATATCTACAGGAGATGCCCAGAGACATCTACAGAAGATGGTCAGAGACTGCAGACATCTACAGGAGATGGTGAGGAACATCTACAGGAGGTGGTCAAAGACTGCAGACATCTAGAGGTGATGGTGAGGAACATCTACAGGAGATGGTCAGAGACATCTACAGGAGATGGTCAGAGATATCTACAGGAGATGCCCAGAGACATCTACAGAAGATGGTCAGAGACTGCAGACATCTACAGGAGATGGTGAGGAACATCTACAGGAGGTGGTCAGAGACTGCAGACATCTAGGAGGTGATGGTCAGAGACTGCAGAAATCTAGAGGTGATGGTCAGAGACTGCAGACATATAGATATAGAGGTGATGGTCAGAGACTGCAGGTATGGGATAGAGAGACTGAGGTCTTAGTAGCGACTTCTACAGATCACGGCCATTATACCCCCTTTACGAATCAATACTTCCACATGTGCCCTCCCTAAAGCCACTTTACAAATGATAGATTTGATATTTCTCTTCACAACGTCCAGAACAAAAATAAAAGGGAAAAAAATATTTAAAAGGAGAAAGTAAGAGGGTGTGGAGGAAATAAACCAAAGGCCCCTCGGAAGGGAAAATTCCATTGGCTCTGGGGCCCAAGAGTCACACAAGAGGTGCCAAAAGGGACCATGCGGGCTGGGCTCCGGGGTCTGAACTGTTCCGTGTTTTAGGAAGTACAAATGTTTCCAGTCTCTTCAGTTCCCCAACCGATGGGGTGCCCAGAGGTGGCCCAACAATGAAATCGGCCTGTCTGTAAGTAACACACTGAACCCTGACCCACAGAGCTTACCATCTGATTACACCAACCAACTCAGTCCTAGATCTGAGCTGAGGTTTCTGTGGCCCCGGTATTCGTTACAAGGGATTGAATTTGCCATTTACTGTCCCTGTTATCTCGCTACGTGTGCCTGTAATGGATACAGAGTACAGGGTTACAGATAACAGGGAGTTCAATCATCACACTTGTACTTGGCAGCGCCATTGTTCCCAGGGGCACTCGAGAGGTAAGGAGGGGGATGGGAGGGAGGAGAAAGGCAGCAAACAAAGACATGGATTTAATTGCAGAAACTCGAAGGATCCCTTCAACGAGCACCTTACTCTGCAGCTAAAACAGGACGGGCAGATATTATACCCTGACACAGGAAGATAATGAGGGACATTGCACCATAGACAGTGGAGGTGGACCTGACGGTGGTTGTAGGAAACGTCACCTTGTAGATTATCGCCTAAACCTTTGTAAGCCCCAAATCTTCTAGAATCCCACAACGATGAGGAATTACAAAGGCTTGGCACCTGAAAGGAGGGGTACAACTGAGACTGATATTTGCAGATTTCTAGGATCTCCAGCAGCGAGGGCAGGACCCCTTGGTAAGGACCATGGATGGTGGGCAACAGATGTAGATAAGAGACAGCAGACATCTACAGGAGGTGGTCAGAGACAGCAGACATCTACAGGAGGTGGTCAGAGACAGCAGACATCTACAGGAGGTGGTCAGAGACAGCAGACATCTACAGGAGGTGGTCAGAGACAGCAGACATCTACAGGAGGTGGTCAGAGACAGCAGACATCTACAGGAGGTGGTCAGAGACAGCAGACATCTACAGGAGGTGGTCAGAGACAGCAGACATCTACAGGAGGTGGTCAGAGACAGCACACATCTACAGGAGGTGGTCAGAGACAGCACACATCTACAGGAGGTGGTCAGAGACAGCACACATCTACAGGAGGTAGTCAGAGACAGCAAACATCTACAGGAGATGGTCAGAGACAGCACACATCTACAGGAGGTGGTCAGAGACAGCAGACATCTACAGGAGGTGTTCAGAGACAGCATACAGTTACAGGAGATGGTTAGAGACAGCAGACATCTACAGGAGGTGGTCAGAGACAGCAGACATCTACAGGAGGTGGTCAGAGACAGCACACATCTACAGAAGGTGGTCAGAGACTGCAGACCCCCAGTTTAGGACTATGAATGGTGGGTGATACAGCAAGCTATTTATGAAAAATGTAATGATTTTGTTCTCCGGTCATCCACCAGTTTCTATTGGATCACGCCTTCAAGAATAGAATAAAAATCCCCCCCCTCCCTCCAAAACATAAACCCTGAACACGGGGGGTACACAAGTATCTGTAGCCCACCACACTGCAATCCAATCCACGGTCATATAGTGCAATATAGAGCCACATAGCAACTATCTCTCCCTGCACAATGGTCATGCTTCCCTAAACTCCTCTGACACACGGCTGTCAGGGACCCACCTTCATACAGCGAGGGGGCTGTCACATGACAAAGCCCCCATTATTGATCCTTCTAAACCAGCTGACCTAAGTTCAAAGGCCACGCGGTGCATTATGGTTACAAATAATTTGGTCTGCTGAATTTAAGGGACTACGAGCCTTGAAAACGCGAATTCTTTCAAGGTAAATGCTTCGGGTCCATGAGAGATTCAGTCAAGACCATCGGGGAGGCACCGTGAGGCCGGGGCTGGGACGGGCAGCAGCTCACCTCATGGTGGACCACCAGCTCCATCCCAACATCCAACTACGCATGGTAGCGCCAAACCCGGAACTCCTCCCTAGCCTATCTAGACGCGTTCGTGGTTTAGAAGACGAGGACGGGTACTTACCAGCTCGATAATCATGAGGATTCCAGGGATAGACCTGAGGAAGGATACGTCCGGCCTCATGAAGGATGCTCCATGGCTGGCAGCCTCCGATGTGCTGCTCGTGTGCGTGCTGACTTTGGCGGGGAATTCAGCCATGGCGGTGCGGCGGGTTCAGCTCAGCAGGGGAATCTCATACGGAATAGGTGAGTCTTGGAGGAGGTGAGCGATGGGCAGCACAAGGCAGGTCTGAGGATCTCTCCCTACCTGTCAGACGTAGGCTTCCCTAACAACGCCCCAGACATCAAGGTGCAGGAGGGAGGGGCGGGGAGCGGGCGGGTTAAACAGTAACAGGATCCTTGACACACCGTGCAAAGTCTAAGGAGACCGGTTCCCACCTGTGCTGGGCACGGCGCCCTTTTAATTAACCCTTGCAGCATCGCCACGACGCCGAACCCGCCTGAGGGTCTGGAAGGCGTACTAGACCCAAGAATAAAAATGTCATATATCGCAGGTGACCGATCCGTACATGTCATGGCGGCATTCCTTTTCTTCTTGGCTAATACAATAGCAAGTAGAGAGAAGTATCTGACAAAACTCCAGGGTCCTTGTAGCTTCCTGTGCGCTGAATTAAAATGTATCATCTTTCCAGCTACATCCTGTAAAACTACGACCCCCCTCCCCAATGTGATGTAGATTCTGTCATCATTTTATGATAAAATAATTTGGAAATAATTTCGTAGTGCAAATAAGGAAAGCAGCCAAGTGTGACAACCGTGCTCCTAGATACAGTATGGTTAGTGAGTGTGGTCACCCTAGAACAGGAAGTGTCATTAAGTGAGCGTTTTCCCCTTAGAACAGAAAGTGTCACTGAGTAAGTGTTTTAACCTGAGAACAGGAAGTGTCACTGAGTAAGTGTTGTCACTAGGGTTGCAGGTAGGGACAGTCCGGGTTTTGAATGCTGTGTCCAGGTTTCATGGCAGCAAAAACTTGGACACAAGATGTCAGGCAGTCAGGGGCAACCAAAATTAAGACATGGGCTACTGGCCCCCCACTAAAAACAGTCTCAACTGTGATATTTACATATGAATAAGCTACAAATCATTCTGCCCAAAAAAATGTCAGCGCATCGCTAGCATGTTCGGGTTTCGCTTGAAGAAAAGGTGGCAACCCTAGTTGTCACCCTAGAACAGGAAGTGTCATTGAGTGAGTGTTGTCACCCTAGGACAGGAAGTCTCATTGAGTAAGCGTGGTCACCCTAGAACAGGAAGAGTCTTTAAGTAAGCGTGGTCACCCTAGAACAGGAAGAGTCACTGAGTTAGCGTTGCCACCCTAGTACAGGAAGTGTCATTGAGTGAGTGTTGTCACCCTAGTACAGGAAGTGTCATTGAGTGAGTGTTGTCACCCTAGGACAGGAAGTCTCATTGAGTAAGTGTGGTCACTCTAGAACAGGAAATGTCTTTAAGTAAGCGTGGTCACCCTAGAACAGGAAGAGTCACTGAGTTAGTGTTTTCACCTGAGAACAGGAAGTGTTATTGAGTAAGCGTTGTCACCCTAGAACAGGAAGTGTCACTGAGTAAGCGTGGTCACCCTAGGACAGGAAGTGTCATTGAGTAAGCGTTGTCACCCTAGGACAGGAAGTGTCATGGAGTAAGTGTTATCACCCTAGGACAGGAAGTGTCATTAAGTTGTCACATCTCGTGCTTTGCCCCTGTCAGGAGCCTGGCACCCCGGGGGTTCAGGGACACTGTGACCGTCTCTTAAAGGCACACTCCATTCAGAACAGAAAATGAAGCCTTGAGATTCACACAGCGAGGACAGTCTAGCTGCTCAGTACATTGGGCATTGTTATATTGCACCAGCCCGCGCCGCCATCTCATAGTGAACCTGATGTGAGAACCCCTGCTTGTGACTCAGGAGAGGTGTCCCAAAACACACCCCCTGCACCAATCAGCAGAGAGCAGGAGCTTCGCTGATTAAAGAGCTGTAGCTATGGCTCAGCAGGGGAGTTTCAGACCTCTACAGAGAGACCTCTGCTTCCCCACAGAGAGCAAGGCTCCTCCTCTGCAGCATGCTGGCGGGGGTCAGGCTTGTCTACTCAGGCTGTGGCTGCTGCATAAAGAAAAACACCTGCAAGAGCTTTTGTTGTTCACACCCAAACATCACCGTGATTCATCCATCTGTACAGGATTCACCGGCTTCTAATAACACCCTCCATGCAGCGCTTTCACTTGGCCAGGATGTCGACATTTGTTTGATTCAGAGCTGTAAAGCTCCAACCCGACCATTAAAATCTTACAGAATCCTTAACCCGTTAATGTCATCCTAAAATTCATTGTCAGTATTATTAAAGGACAAAAAATTAATAAAATTAATAAAATAAATTAATAAAACAAATTAATTAATTAAATAAATAAATAAAATGAATTAATAAAATAAATTAATAAAATAAATAAATGAATAATGCACATATATTCACAAAAGAAAAGATCTGTGAATGGATGACATGGCTCTGTGGGCAGAGACAGCCGTGTCATTTAAAAAAAACAACAGCAGTCAGGAACCCCCGCCCCCCCTTTTCATGTAAGTTTGGGGGGGGGGGATTCGTAGACGATGCTACCATCCTGAATATAGGTGTAACATGAAACATGGTTTTAAAGGTGAACTTAGCCTTTGAATTTGCAGCTTTAATAAAGTAATACATTGTAAGTCAGCTATAAAGTGTATCTCTGGGTTAGACCTTTTTATTAGTTTTGGATCATGTGGGGAAGGGTTAGGACCCCTGTCAATGTTTTACTGGTTCAAATAGACATATCTGAGCGGTCGCTGGGACTTCAGAAGTTATGGATTGGATGACGGAAGCCTCAAGCTTCAGGCAAGCTCATTGGCTCTGGTAAGGCCGCTCACGTACAGCAAGGATCCGCTTGGTTGGTACCTTAAAGCAGTAAAAGGTGCGCCAAACCAAATGGTGAGAGAGATCACGTGACTTTAATGATTCATTATGTGATCGCATAGAAAAGCCAACGCATTTCGGGGGTCATTACGCTCCGCCTTCATCAGGGCTGGGAATTGTTACGAAGGTTTAGGTGGACTCAATGTAACCGGTAACCAGAGAAATCTCTATGACATCTGACTTCTCATGGGGAGCTCAGGAAAGCAAATCTCCCAATATTGTGTTTTTAGGCTTTAGGTTTTTATTGCTGTCAGTGTCCCCAGTGGGGAGATTTACCCCTCCACTTGTGCTGGTGAAAGTGAGTGACAATCCAACATTTTGAGTTATCCCTAGTGAGGGGAAATCTGACAAAGGGGACACCTGTTCCAGGGACAGCTGCCTAAGAGGGGAACTCCCCATAACTCGGGGGATATGCTAGGGGATAGGGGGCCATCCCTATAATGAGACAGCCGTTGCCTCAGGTGGCATCTCTTTGGGTCACGTGGGGCAGGGGGGATGTGGCAGGCAGAGCGGCCTGGTCCTGCTTAGCTCTTGGCAACCAGTGACCTTACTGGTTGCCAGGAGCTAAGCAGGACACCAGCCAGAGCGCCCCAGGTTGCTAAAAGCCGGGCAGGGAGATGTGTAAGGGCCATATGCATCTATCCACCCAGCTTATAGCAACCTGGGACACTCTGGCCGGTGTCCTGCTTAGCTCCTGGCAACCAGTAAGGTCAGCTGGCCGGGATGCTGGCCAGAGCTGGGTGGGGAGATAATGCAGAGCCAACACACCCAGGTTAGCGCGCACCGCCAACACCATTCCCCGCCTGGGACAGCAAGTGACGGGAATAAGCCCCAATGGTACACAGACAGCAAAAACAGTAACCTGGTAGGATTGTAAACCTCCCTACATACTATACATCCCCATTATCCGTGTTCTTTTCCAGGTACTGTATTTCAGTTTGGAGGTGACAGGGTCTCTTTAAACCTTGAATTTCCCATTCCCAGGCTGGGCTGTCGAGTACTTTAAAGTCTTTAAGAAATCTCATTAAAGCTTGCGCAATGTTTTATCGATGCCTGCACTGCTCTCGGCTCTTTCCACCAGGATCTACAATCTCTCGGCTGTGTGAATCAGGCTCATGAACCTGTCAGGTGACATCCAGCGCGGCAATGTCTTTTTCTGGGTAGGCAGAATCCCTGGGCGGTCAGGTGGAAAATCTGCGTTGTTTGCGTTGTCCTTTAATGTGTAACCAGCGCTGGAAAATTGGAATGGATGAGTTGACATAGACGTGAAGTAGACTGATGAGAAAGCTGAAGTGAACTTTTCACCCTAATACTAAATCCTCTTAGCATCTTGTAGGGTGTGATGTGAATCTCTAATGGACCTTCCGTGATCTGAACTTTGACCTTCTAGGACCCAGTCTCCAGACTCTTCATTTCAACATAAGTTTCTTTTTTCTAAGATTATATGTGCATTTAACATGTGAGAAGGCATTCAGATGACCTAATCTTCCTGTGCAATGTTGGTGACAGGGTCTCTTTAACATGTTACACTTATACAAGGTTTTCTGCCGGTTGGAAGCCGGTTGGATGACCAGTGAAACGTCTTCAAGAAGAATACAGGAAGTCCAGTTGCCTTGACTTATTTATTACAGATATACCATGACCTGGATGGATGAGAACCTTCACAGACATATTTTCTGCGATTAGGTTTAGATCTACTTTAAATACAAAATTACGAGTTTATCATTCTGAACATTTCTATATCCAACCACTACCATACATCTGTGAGATTGGCCTGTTACGTGATCGGCTTCACGATGACAGATGGTTCATGGAGAATGCTTATCGTGCAATAAAGTGACATCAGTCAGAGCACGAGACCTGCCCTGTAGATGGGAACGGATAGCAGTGAGTGATACGCCCTTTGAGCAATCATCATTGAGCATGTGATGAAGAAGAGAGTAAGCAGAGGTCCTGTCCAGTAACAGCCACACATCCAAACGGTCCAGAGATATGTAACCTGGTGACAATGCGGGGTTCAGGGGAGCAGCAGATGGGTACCACAAGTTCCCAGGGCCACACTGGACCTACCGAGGACTTTGTTATTCTTCCACCAGTATCTCTCCAACTTGTCATGGTCACCACTTCTCATGTTCACCACAGGTCACCAATAGGACACAGGTTAATCAGAACTTTACTAGTGCTTCATCAACTTGTCATGGACAGGACATCACTAGGACGCAGGTCAATCAGAGCTTCATTAATGCTTCTCCAATCACCCATCTCTCTCTCTCTTTTTTGGCCTCACGAAGAGAAGATTCAGCAGATCTGTTGACTCCATCCCCAAGTTCTCTTCACCGTGGTGCTTCTTCCTGGTTTTTGACCTATTCAGTACCT